CAGCCCTCTGCTCCTTACTTTCTCGGTCTCCCTCTTGCCCTCCCTCTCCACCCACCCCTATCTACTTTCCTCTCTCTGTCCTAGCTCATGCAATTCCCACTCCCCCTTTTTAAAAAATATATATTTTTAATGATTTCAGAGAGGAAGGGGGGAGAGAGAGATAGAAACATCCATGATGAGAGAGTCATTGATCGGCTGCCTCCTGCAAGCCCCCAACTGGGGATTGAGCCCGCAACCCGGGCATGTGCCCTGACCGGGAATCGAACCAAGATCTCCTGGATCCCAGGTCGATGTCAACCGCTGAGCCACGTTGGCTGGGCTCCCCCCCTCCCCCCTTTTAATCATTAAATTTAGACTTTCACGGTTTCCCTTTCCTCGTGGTCCATCTCTATCAATTTCCTCAATGGAACCAGCAATAAGTCTCTCTTCCTAAGGGCGCTAGGAAGGGTAGGCTGTTGCTCTTTAATATTCCACGTGCGTGTGTGCGCGCGTCTGTGTGTGTACACACTCGCAGATGAACCCAGGCATCTAGACTGGACACCTCTGCATGCGCACACCCAGGAACACAGACGGACGCACCCGCATGTAGGGGAAGCAGGGCACCCTCAAGGGGGGCCTTCAAGGGAAGGCTGTTTACAGAGGCGCAGGCAGGCCTGTGAGAGTTACCCAAGGGTGTCGAGGCGCCCAGGGGCTAGTGACAGCAGGACGCCGTCGCCTCCCTTAGATCTGGAGGGGCCGGGGGTGGTGTTTCCTAGGGAGGGAGAGCTGGAGCCGCCAAAGAAACCGAGAGCAGCAGGGAGGCAGAAAGGGCGCGAGCCAAGGATACCGCGACCTCCCTCTTCTCCTGCCCCTTTGTTTCCCGCTGCTTCCCACTGGCCAGACCCAACCCGAGGCCGGGGGAAGGGCGCCCCTTGGTGATGCTGTGGCGGGGTCAGCGCCAGGCGCGGACACGCTGAGAAGGGCAGGGGGCGGATGGCGGGGACAGTGGGCAAACGGAGGGAAACCAAGACAGCCCGTGAGAGTGCCGAGTAACTTTTTGATGGCAACTCTTCCAACTACACACACATTGGGAGGAAAAGATGTTGGGGGACCACATGTCCAAACAATTAAGGAAAACAGACATTGACGGCGATTGGCGTGACAGCCATGCTTAATTACATGAGCTAATGAAGTGGGGCTCCTGGCGTGACTTTCCAGAGTGATTTACACTTGGCTCAGGAAGCAGAATGGTTTTTATAACAGATTTTTCTCTAATTATGTTTAGCTTATGTTCCTGTGAGGCTCTGGTTCCTCGAGTAAATACCACCTGATCACAAAGCAGGGCGGCTCGAAAGCACCCGGAGCGCCAGGTGGAAGCAGTCTGGGGTGTGCCGTTCGCTGCGGGTTCTCGGGTCCTGCTCTCTGCCACTGGTTTTCAAAGGCATGAAGGGCAGCGGCTGTGTCCCACGCCGCTTCTGGATCCCTCTAAAACAATGACACTCAGACTTCACCGCGTGCAGGCGTCACCGGGAGAACTCGTGAGAGCGCAGGTTCCCGGGCCCGGCAGGGGGGTGGGTTTCCTTGTGTGGGCAGTGCCTGGGCATCTGAATTTCAGCCGGCGTTTCCGCTCATTCTGCTGGAGGTCAGTGCATGACATTTGGGGAAATGCTGTTCGAAGGCTGGCCGCACGGTTCACACACAGAGGCGAAGTGGCGCAACAGATGGAGGGGGGACGTGATTTGGGGTCAGAGCTGGGTTCAAATGCCACTTCACCACTGATGAGCTGAGGCCGCTTGCCTTTTCTGTCATCTGCAAGGTCACAATGCAGGTGACAGTACACTTGGAGGCAATAGCCAAAGAGTGAAAACCATGATCGACACAGTGGCACCCTCTGTTTGCACCCGAAGCTTCTGGAGCAGGCCTTTCTCAGGGTGACAGGGTCCTGCGATCCCACCTTTGAAGACCCATGAGCGCCATCCTGAGACACTGCATTTCAGACACTGCAGAGTTTCTGAGGCTCGAGCTTTCCTTGTTGCCACCCAGGAAATTACTGTTCATCCTGCAACATATGGACAACAGGCTTCTTACCCATTCGCTCTTGCTGCTGGCATCGGACCACTGGAAAATATGGTGTTAACGAAAAATACTAAAACTGGCCGTGTTAGGTTTTTGGTTCTGGTTCATCATGCGGCACGATGGGAAGGAAACATCTCTGGGCAGCCCGAGTGGTGCAGAAACGCTAAGGAATAATTCTAAGTATAGGCTCCCAAGACAGAGGGACGGTTCCATGTCATTCTGTGTTTTTTTGCACAGCGCGTTCTGTGTGCTGGAATACGCATTTTTAGTGATGCCGGAATGCTAAAGGTGAGTGAACTTTTGCTCCCTGTTCATTGCAACATGCACTTGTTACGCTTAATTGGCTGTGCATCTTGTCATGAGACACCCAAGCAGCAAAACCGAAGTCAGACTTCATAATGCCACAGTCTTCATTATGCCCAGGATCTACCACTGCGGGTCCTTCCTAACCTACTGAACTCACCTTCAGTGGATACTTGTCAAAAGAGCTTCTAATTGTCCCTCTTAGGTCACCCTAATTGGACACGAGTAGGTGATAATATGCGGCTTGAGGGGTATTTTACGTAATGTAATTACTAATCCTAGATGATACATAATAAGCTTCCAATTTTTTGCCAATAAATAGCCTACGAATTCTGCTTGTTATGGGAAATAAATTTGAACTGCAAGCTGTTCCAACCAAGCCGTTCAAAACATTTACTTAAAACTTAGGTACAAAGTCTAGTTGCCTATTAGTGATGAGAAAATCCAAACAAGCTCTGGGCCTGTGCTTCTGAAACTTAGGCATCCATAGAATCATCCAAGGAGCCCACTTGGAAATGCAGGTCTGGGGCCACCCATGGAGAATCAGTAGTTCTAAGGGTGGGGTGAGGTGAACCTGGGCCAGGCATTTTAAAGAGCTCCCCAGGTGACACTGATGTAGCTAGCTGGGGACTAACTAGTCCATGTTTCCTGGACATGTTCCTTCTCCCTTTTTCATACCTGCCCATCTCCTTACCTGTGAGCAGACTCCCAACCCAGACATCCTCTTCAGCATGGCCTAGAAGGCAGGTGTGTATCTAGGATTAAGGAATGTTCCTTGAGCTCCTGAACTTCTCTTGACCTGACCACATGACAATCACAAACAAGGTAAATTCATGAAAATCCAGCAGGTTACCTATCTCAGGAATTGCTCAGAGACCTAATACCAGATACCTTTGGGCCAAAGGAAAGTTCATTGTCATGTGTGTTCTGTACTTGATCCTCGAAACTCCATAGGCTGGGTTTTATGTGTATTTTATACAGGAAGAAACTGAGGTTCAGGGCACTTGGCAAAAGTCACATGAGCAAGGTGGAGAACCATGTCTCCGAGGCGTGTCTCCAGCCTGCAAAGCTGTTCTTTCCTACAGTGTGTTGAGTTTGGTTACATTGCCAGGATATTTGAAAGTGGGTTAAGCATTTTTCATTAAAAAAAAGAAAAAAATGCCCTAGCCAGTTTGACTCAGTGGTTGGGCCCACGGACTGAAGGTCCTGGGTTCGATTCTGGCCGAGGGGACATACCTTGGTTGCAGACTCAGTTCCCGGCCCTGGTCAGGGCGCGTGCGGGAGGTGACCAATCGATGTGTCTCTCTCACATCGATGTTTCTCTCTCTCCCCCTTCTACTCTCTCTGAAAAGTAATGGAAAAAATATCCTCGGGTGAGGATTTAAAAAAATACAAGTTACCTCTCAGAATTAATTTTCTATACAAGAGAAAATTACTTCTGTATTCTTCTGCTCAGGAAATGATTAAATTTCTAACAAAAGTCTCCCTCAGTCTCTGTCTTCACACCTTTTGCAATGCTTCCATCTTATGGTTAGGTATGAAATAGAAAAGCAAGTTGAACCCTGATCTGCCCCTAGTTCTCCAGTCCTCTGGCACTGCCCAAGGGGAGGCTGGCTTGGCTCCCCGGAGCTGGGTGGGGCATTTTGGGAACTGTTTCTCCCACGAGATCAGAAAAGGGATCTTCACAAACCTAACTCTAGAACTTTCTAAACTGGCATTTGTAGTTTGGATGGTTTCGTAGTTTTGACAGTCTGCTCAGAGTTCAGTTTCTGGTGAGAACCTGCTTCCTGGTTCACAGATGACCATTTTCTCGGTGTCTTCACATGGCAGAGTGAGAGGGAAAGAGGTCCCCTCTTCTTAGGAAGGGATACCAACCATCCTATGGGATTAGGGCCCTGCTCCTATGACCTCACCGAACTCTATCTCCTGAAAGCCCTATTTCTAAATACAATCACATTGGGGTTTAGGGATTCAGTGCATGATTGGGGGGGGGGGGGCCACAATCCAGGCCATAGCAGATGGATTCAGTAATTTTCCAGGAAAGATACAAATGGACAGCTTTCCTACTGGAGACAGAAAGTTCTGTCTGAGAAGGTACCCTTTCAACCCTTTTGCAGAGAAATGGATGGTGGAGCAGGAAGTCAATATGTGGCTTTGCCAGCCCTTACACGGGTCCCCAGAAGGTGCTGTGGCTGCTGACTCTGGTTCCCTGTGTCTTAAACGGAATAATATGCAGAGCTGTCTGTAGGTGTACACTTCCTGGCAGGCACACTTTAGCCACAATGGCTTCCCTGTTGGGTTTTTGACAAATCAGGCAAGCTCTGGCCTTAGGCTGGGCTCCCTAAAAGCAGAGCCTGAGACTGGGGTTCTTGTGCAAGAAATTTATTGGAGAATTGCTCTCAATCTGGGCATCAGGCTAGATGTTGAGAGAGGCAGGATAGGTCAGGGGAGGAAGGTAGGCAGAACTGTAGTTTCAGGAGAAGTTTCCCCTTAGCCTGTCCCATGGGGAGTTCCAGACATACATTGCATTACGGAGAGTGTCCCCTGCAGAGGTAAAGGCATAGGGCACCTTTGCCCACTCCCAACTGTCATTGGCTTAGTTTAGACACTATATTCTCTATTCATTCAAAAAATGTTGCCTATGAGGAGCCAAGGACACGTTTATTTTACATAAATTGGATTTATACCACATACTACTTTTATTATGAACATTTTTTGAACAATAAATATATAGTAATTTACCTCTTATTGTTGGAAATATAGATTGTTTTCAACATCTCCACTTTTTCCAAGGTTTTATCTATATGGACATTAATCCAAGCGTTTCTTGGCATCAGTTTCTACAAGTGAAATTGCTGGTTCTGCAAATTTGTTAACATATTTTCATCATAACGTTGTCTGGGAAATCAGCATATTCAACTGTCAGGATTTGCTGCTATGCGGTGCTATGGTCCCTTGAGGTTGGTACGACTGTGACATTTGAAGGCGTTCTTGGTGGCTTTCAGAAACTGCTTCCTCATTTTCTCCAGTGTGTGAGGAAGTCCCTTCTGTTTCTGAGCTCCATGGGCCCTTCCCTCAAGCTAAAATCACTCAGCACTGGCTGCCAACAAAATACCTTTTGCGACAGCTCTGGAAGCCTGACTGTCCCAGTCCTGGGCTCCATAGGGGAGGAAAGGCTTTCTTATCTGTCCCTGAGGGATCTTCCTCCGGACTTGAGACACACTGCAAGAGAAGCGGGTCTCTGATGTTCCTCTCCTCTCCCCTGGCCTCCCGCTTTGTCCAGTTGCATTTTCACCTACTAAAGTCACTCCCTTGCGAAAGGCAGCTGAGGTCCAGATGATTCTATTGCAGGCTAGGCTTTCCATTCTACAGGGCTGGCCGATGACGCCTCCTCCAGAGTCTGCGTCTTCCGCCTCCCCTTTCAACACCGGGCAACCTGTCCTTTTTCCTCTTCGAAGTCCTGTTTGTGTCTTTGTTGCCAGAAGGGGACGGGTCCCCGAGCAGGTCTGCTCTCGGGTGTGGGTTCTTAACCTGGGGCGGGAAAGATTTCACAACGTGAGTCCAGGTGATTTCCAGAGTACGTTCATTAAAGCTGGGGACAGTGCCCTGGCCGGGGTGGCTCAGTGGTTGAGGCATCGGCCTGCACACTGAAGGGTGGCGGGCTCCATCCCCGGCCTGGGGGGCATGCATGTGGGAGGCAACCGATTGATGAGCCTCTCACATCCTTGTTTCTCTCTCTCTCTCTCCCCACCCCTTCCCTCCCTTCCACTCCCTCTAAAAAAAAATAAAAGTAAATAAAAAATCAATGGAATCGAACCTGGAACCTTTCGGTCCGAAGGGCCGTCCCTCCAACCACTGAGCCGGACCAGCCAGGGCTAAAGTCCTCGGTGCAGGGAAGACAGAAGTTCATGACTGACCGATGGCTGTAAACCGCTCGGCCGTCGAGCTGTCCGTCTCCCCATCCTACGTGCCCTGACTTAGGGGCCTGTCTCGTCCGGACCCTTCCGTTACCTTCTACGGGAACCGTCGCCGTCCCTCTCGCGGCCTGAGGCGCTGGGAGGCCGCGCAGCTACTCCGTGCGGAGCGGGCCCCTTCTGCGAGATGAAGAAAAGGGCGGCAGGCCAGGGAATAAAACAAAAAGCAGGGTGAAGAAGCAAAGGAAACACAGGCCGGCGGGCAGGCAGGAGGATGCTGCCGCTGTCCTGTCTCCTAGGCAACCAGGGCTGAGCCACCGCGAAGCTGCGACGCCTCCCAGCGGCCGCCTCGCTCCCCGCAGCGCTTCCGGCCTCCGGCGGGTGTCATTGACTAAGCGCCCTGCGTCGGCGCAGACTGCATGCGCGCGTGCGTGCGTGCGTGCGGCGTAAGACGTCGGCGAGGAGGCGGGACTTCCGGCCCTGGGCAAAAGCCCTTCCGACAGGAGCCGGAAGACCGTCCCGGATGGCGTCGGGGGCGGCCTGCT